GGGCAGAGCTGGGGGTGGGGGGGTCACCTTGTAAAACCAGTGATTTCTAGGCTTGAGATCCCAAGGAGTTTCTCCACTCTTGCCCTAATGTCTTCCGCAAAGCCTCCTGAAACCAACCAGAGATGGCTGCTCCAGTCGCTGCTCTGGGTATATGGCCCCTCTTCCCTGTGGTGAACTGGAGATGGGTGTGCTGGACTGGAGGTGGGCGTGCCGGAATCCGTGCCCCTCTCCCCAACCTGTCAGCACCCGGCACCAGGATGTCCCTGCAGCAAAGGCAGAAGCTCTTTCTACACCCCATGGATCACGGATTTCTTTTTAGGAGTTTCTGTGTCTGTGGGGCATGCCCCCCTAACTTCCTGGCCTGTCTGGGGTTTAGGATTGAAAACCTGGGCTGGCAGCGGGCAAGGAGTGGCTGAGCCAGGACAGGCGCGTTGTCTTAGAAGCTGGGGAAGACCACAGTCCAGCCCCCTGGCCTCCCAGGGAGAGCAGGGCACCGTACCGTGAAGAAGTGACTGCAGACAAACGGCCAGGGACGGGATCCCCACAGGCAGCAACTCACACAGCACGGAGAAGTGGTCGTACCTGAGTCCACGGGAGAGGAGTGCTCAGCTCCTGCTGCCTGGAAGCAGATGCTGGCACACCATCGCCTCTACCATAGGACAGGCACCTAGAAGCTTCTGCAGAGCTGGCTGCTGCCTCTGGAAATGCCCCTCGATCTCCTGGATGTGTGGACTCACCTACTGCCCTGTCTGGGCTCAATGCTCTGTGGTGGCCAACCTGCAATCCTTAATGAGTTCAGGCCACTCACCCTGCCCTTGGTGCTGGGGCCACCTGGTCTCTCTCCCAGCCCCCTAATCACAGGGTACGACCTGCGGCCAGGACTTGGGTAGGACCAGGGGTCCATCTGTAGCTCAAATTTCCAAGGGGTATGAAATCCTGAAGAGCCAACATCTGTCCTGATCCCGCTGTGCATGAGCCGCGTGCGTGCGTGTGGCCTCAAGGAGGCTGGGGACTGTGGACACGCACGTGGATCAGACAAGGCATGGAGCCAGGAGGGCAGCATGCTCTGTGGCCCTGACACTCAGAGCAGGGTGCCCTGTGCAGAGTTTGGAGGACGGCTACAAGTGTGTGCGGGGCCCAAGCTCCTCCCACACCGTCCCCAGAGCACCAGCTCTTCCCTCCAGGTCGGAGGCCCAGAGTGAACGGTGAGGAGGTCACTGTGTCTACCCACTGGAACTGCTTCCCCTCCCAGGAAGGCACCCGGTGACCTCACCTCTGCCAGCCGGTCAGGATGATGCCCTGCAGCGTGTCTGCTGGCCTTCGTGCCGCCACCTGCAGCCACTGCATGTTGTTCCGGAGGTGGTGCTCGATGGGGGGCAGGGCCTGGCTGGGCCCTGTGGCCCCCTTGAAGGCACTGGCGGCCCACAGCCGGGGAAAACCGCACTTCCCATACTTTTCCATTACGAGAGCTGAGAGAGAGTGTGAGGTGTGACTGGGCTGGGACCTGAGGAGGCTGCGGCCACCAAGCCCTTAGACACAATGCCCAACACTAGGCTGTGCAGATGGGAACCACGGGAGCCTATGGACAGGCACCCATCTCAGTGAGGGCTGACTCCCACCACTCGCAGGGGACCCCAGTTCTCTTGTCCATTAGTATAGGCCATCCTGTGAGGACCCAGCCACAGGACATGGGCCAAGGGCTGCTCCCTGGGGTGGAGGGCTCCCTTGGGGAGGGGCCTGCAGTGAAGCAGAGGCAGGTCAGATTGTGATGAGCCAGGAGACGAAGGCCCGCGCATCCCCCAGCTGGGCAGTCAGGGTGACAGGGTCTCCCCTGGCAATGTGGTACTGACCCTTGCTATGGACGTCCAGGTCAGCCCCATAGTCCCAGAGTACCGGCTCCACCAGCTGTGGAACCCCTGATGCTGGGGGCAGAGAGAGGTCATGAGTGAGAGCTGACTGGAAATGGCCCTCAGTCCCCACTTCTTGCATAAAAGGGACACAACCCATCTCTTCTAGGATGGAAATGCCATTGCCAGGAAGCCAGCCGGCCACAGAAATGACCTGACTCCAGGAGCTCTGACCCAGTCAGAGGACCAGAGCTTCCCATGGGGGATGGACCACTCTGTTGGCAAGTTGCCAGGGGCACTAGGCCCAGATGCAACAGAAACACACTGCTAATTGGATTTAATTGTAGTGAATGCTAATTAAACCCAAGTGGCCACATGTGGTACTGGCTGCCACAGGGACACCAGAGCCTTGCAGAAGTGTGGGCATCCATGTGGGCACTGAAGCACTGGGTCCAGGCTCTGGCCAGAGCTGTGAGTCCACACCCACCTCTGGTCTCATCCCAAAGCCTCAGGCAGGGTGAGCCCAGGGGCTGAAGAGGCTGATGCTCTCCTTGTGGAAAACTCAGCAAGGGTCACTGCAGGACCCGCCACAGAGGCCCAGTGGGATGGAGGGCTGGAAGCAGGGGCTCTCCCGTGGCCCAACATTCCCCACCTGTCCCGGTAGCCAGGGCCCCTTGGGCCTCACAGCAGCTCAGTTCCTCCTCTCAGCCTCAGGAAGCCCTCCCCTGGACAAGCCCGGCTGACCTGACAGCTGGTCCTCAGGGATGTCCCGCAGCATGTCATCCCAAACCAGGGGCATCGTGGAGGGGTGCTGGGACAGCACGTGGCTGGCCACGGCCCTCATGTGGGACAGACACAGTTTGGCTTTGGTGTTCTGCTCCTGCTGCAGCCACTGTCTTGAGGCCTCTCCCTCCCCAAGGTAATAAACCTGGACAGAAGGAAGACAGGATGCATCTGCCTCTGGACACCTTAGGGAGGGACCAGGGGGACACCCCAGGGGCAGTGGCGTGTGAGGAGACGGCGGCAAAGGGCGACCCTGCCTTCTTCTCTGAGACCTAAACTCCCACTCGAGAGTCCCATTTGCAGCAGCTCCAGAGGGGAGAGAACCCAGATGTCCACCCATAGGTGACAAGCACCACATGGCCTCTCCAGACACTGGACCATCAGTGAGCCACAAACAGGAATGGAGCACAAAGTCCTGCTCAGAGACAGAAGCCAAGCACAAAAGGCCACATTCTGTGGAATTAATTCCATTTCCACAATGTCCAGAACCAGTAAATCCATAAACAAGGCACCAGCGGTGGCCAGGGGCAGGGGTTGCGGACTGCTTGAGGGGTGTGGGGTTTCCTTCTGGGGGGAAGGAAGGTCCTGAATGAGAGTGGTGATGGTTGCACATCATAAATGTACTTAGAAGTCACTGAGTCGTATACTTTAAAATGGTTGGAATGGTAAGTTTTATGTTGTATTTTACTACCAAAAAAGGGAATTCCTTAGAAGGGTCAAATTCTAGAACTAAAATGTGTGCAAAGCACCGCCCACGCTTGGCGGCTGGCTCAGCATCCTCCCGGGGCCATCCGAGTTTCTCGAAGGGTAGGGCATGGTGCCTGGCACCCCAGGGACCGCCTGTTCGCCCCAGTGCTCCATGGCCCAAAAGTAGTATTTCCTTTCTCCTGCCGTCCAAAACTGTATTTCTTCAGTTAGAAAAGTAACCAGCTCAAGCTCACACCCACTACTGGCCCTGGGGGCATAAATCCCACTCTGCAGGGCATGGGCAGCACAGCCATTTGGGGCCCAGCCCTCCCTTCTCTGACCCCAGGTGCCTGGGGGCCACTCGGCTCGCAGGTCAGCTTGGGCCAGAGGTCCCCATCAGCAGCACCAACACCCTCACCCTCGTCAGCCTTTCTCTACCCTTTGGCACGTGGACTATTTTTCTATTTAAGAGAAGAAGACACAAGGTGGAGACGTGATCTTGAAGACACGGGGAGCACTGTGGAAGATGCGAAGCAGGCACCCACCTCGTCACAGCCAATGTGGAGCCACCGGGCACCCGGGTGCAGCTCCATGACCTGGTCGATCATGGCCCCAACCAGCGCCAGGGACTCTGCCTTGTGCGGGTTCAGGGTGTTGGGGAAAAGCGCCACTTCTCGGAGGTGAGCGAGAGCTTCATGCTTCAGCACAAACTGCCGAGAGAGGACGGGAGAGGGCAGTCGACAGATCTCACAGGTGGACTTGTTAGAGGAAAACATGGAACCAGCCTTGTGTTCAATCTGCTTCCCACTGATACAGACGTGAAAACAGTCTCTGAAGATCACGTAGGAGCGTGGGAAGGTATTTCCAATATTAAGTGAGAAAAGGGCACAAACAGAGAAAACAGAAAGCATGTCCTTCCTTGATGCTGCTCAGTGATACCTGGGTGAACATTTAAGGAGCAAACAGCCGGCCCCCGGCTCTATCAATGTCACGGACCCTGGCTCTCCCTCCATTCATGGCAGAGGTGGTCTGACCCCCACACCCACACTCTCCAGCTGTTTGTAGGGGCTTCCGAGCCAGAGCCTGTCCCTGCAGCACTGAGTTGCTTCCTGCTGTCAGCTCCCCTGAACCCCAGACCCGGGCACCAGGTGACTCCGTTCCTCCCACTTACCTCCATGTGTCCGAATGTCTGCACCAAGGGGACGACCTCGAGCCCATTCAGTGTGGCCAGACGCAGGATCTCTTTGATTTCGGAGGGGCTGCAGAGAGAAAGGTCACCCAGAGCGGGTCACGCCAGCTCAAGTTCACGTTCCCCCAGCCCCTCCTGTCGGGCTCCTGGGCACTCTCGTGAGGAAATTAGTAGGGTCGCTAACTCTGAAAAGCTCAGCACTCTGGTCCACACCTTCTCGTCTTCCCATCTACATGCGCCTGGGGCCAGCGGGAGTCGCACACTGGGGAATTTTCACATATAGAGCCAAACCCCCCAGTACAGCCAGTCCCTTGTCAGTCCACCAGCAGGAGGTCTGCTTTTCCTCAGCCCCGTGAACACCAGAGTGTTGTAATTTTTAAAAAGATTGACCAATTTGGTAGCCAAAGTAACATCTCACTGTTGTTCTAATTTCTTTTATTATCATCATATGCTTATTGGCCATTTTTATTTCATCTGTTGGGATCTGCCAGTAAGTGTCCTTTGCCCATCTTCTTTGGACTGTTTGCTATTAATTCACACGGACACCCTAATCTTGAAGCCAGCGCGGCACGCCCAGGACCACCCTGTGCAATGTCATGGCTCTGAGCCTCTGCCCTTTAATCTCCCGTCCAGGAGCAGCCCCCCTTCCCCTGCAGGGCACCTGCCAAAGCATCCTCTGCACCGCACACCTGCCCACGACGAGGTCACAGCTCCCCATTGTAGGCATCACAGGCCTCGCTTATTTACTATTCTGTGAACACGTTTTATTTTTATAACTCAAGACGCGCATTTAAGACAGATGGGATTGTCCCACCTTTGTGAAATTCTCGCCTGCCCTAAACGCAACCCCCGTTGCCTCCGCACCCCCCACGTTTTCCCTACATACTGTGACCTTCGTGGGGCAGATACCTGTACGCGTCTTGGGCCCTCAGCAGCCTCAAGTGGCCCTCGTAGGGAAATGTGTCTTCATACTCAATGAGGAGGCCGTTTGCACCCAGGGCACGGAACAGAGGGAAAATCTGGGGGGAGAGGGGGTGACCCCGTGGTTGAGTTCTAGGCACACATTTCTACAGGACACTGTTCACAACTTGAAAGACCAAACCCAAGGCGATTCCCTTGAGGTAACGGCGCTCCTACCTCTGAGAGGTATGAGACCTTGGGTGGGGCTCCCTTAAGGTCCAGGTGAACGAGTCGCATCTTAAACGGCGAGGAGCCTGACATCTCGCTATTTTCTGTGAAGTCACACGACAAAGACCTCTTGTCCGGGTACTTCTTCCTAGTAGAGAAATCCAGAGTCGAGAGCAGGCTGAGGCCTCTGCCTTCTGTGCCAGTTCTGATATTAACGAGGAGGAAGCTCATTCCACCAACACGGCCTCGTCATGACGTCTATGTCCGTGCTCCAGTGGAGGAGCCTCTGTGTTTAAGTGTGACTCGCCCCTAAAGTGGAACAGCACTGGTTGCCTAAGAAGGCTCTGGTCTGCAGTAACACAAGTCCCTGCAAGATAATCTCCTGTTTTAAACTACCTGCCCTACGCCAGTGGAAACAGGCAGGCAGGTGTCTCCAAACATTACCTCGGGCCCGTGATATGTTTCTGCAGAACGTTCACCCTCGATTGTGTCTCACGTTGGAGACCATTGAACGCATTTACATCTCGAGAGCTGGAGCCTGCCTGCTGGTGTGCAGAAGCCACAAACACCTCGCTAGGTCGGAGAGAACTGTCCCAGGCTGAACAGGGGCCACTGACATGTTGAATAACTACGCTGTGCACCCAAAACTCCTATGATACTGTGTGCCCACTACCCTTGAATAAAAAAAGGCAAAAAATAATTAAAATGATTTGAAAAACGAATGAGCCACGCGTGTATCAGGGCTGGCTGGTTTGAGGCAATGTGAAGGGAGTGTCTGGATGACAATGAAGCAGCTGGGAAACGGCAATATAGATATATGTACTTTTTTATTATAAAAGCACAAGGGTAACGGGAAGAGGAAATCTTGCTCCATGGGTCCTACGGAAGCTCGGGGACTCCTATGACTGCTACTTCTGCACAAAGGGGGCGACGAGCCGGCTGCACACAGAAGCCCGCCCGCTCGGTGGTTTGAAATCATACTGGAGGCGCTGCGACGGCTGCGTGAGGCAGCTGCCTAGGGCGACGGCGAGGGGCAGAGCGTCCCCGCGCCGCCCGCGCGCCCC